TGCTCTACGTCCCGTTCAGAATCGCCGTTTCGTCCAGGTCGAATCTTCGTCGCGACTTCCAAAATCCTGGGAAAGAAAATTAACGGCGTTATCGCAGAACTCATTTCCTTGGGAAATAAAAAAAAAAAGACAAAGGATTCGTTTCGCGGAACGACGAAACGGGAAGGTCCGCTCCTGGGACTTATCGACCCGGAGGGAATCTCCCCTCGTTCCTTGACGTAACGGCCGTTACGCCCCCGCGAAGCGGTCCAAGAGTCTCGTCGCCGTTGCGCCCCGACGATGCCGTTAAACGGCAAGATCGCGAGGTTAACGCTCGAGCTCCTCGAATAATCGCGACGGCTATTCCGCGCATCCTCGCCGCAGGAAACGACCGTTCGCTTTGGACAACGGATCCTCTAACGGCCGTTACACGGCTCGCTGCGCCGTTACAATTATTCATAAAATGCATGCACATTCAATGCACAAGTTCGTAGTAAAACGTGATTTACCATACAATTTCCATGAATTTCTAAACGAATTTATGATTTCATGACGGCGGCAAATTATGCAGGAAAATGAACGCACCTATGTTGTCATTATTTTTTTTTTTTTTTCCCGAAGATTGGTAGAGTTTCGAGCCAAACATCTTTGAGCGAGATAAGAAACACCAGTATTAATGATACTTATCGGCGAAAAGTTATAAAATCACGATACCTCATTTTCTTTTTTTCTTTGGTTACTAAGAGCGCCTAAAGGTGCCCGACGTTTGGTCCAATATTGCCTGCACGGTCAGACGAATTTCGCCCATATGTCGAGATGGCTCCGTGTTCAGAGGGTTAAGAGCCTGGAGTTTTTCTCGTTTTTTCCCGCTTTGAAGGGGATTGCGGGGATTCGAGTACTGAAGAGTTTCGACGATTTCAGACGATTCCAGGTGGAATCGGGCCAGAGTAACGTCTCGGCAGGATCGTTGCTTCGTCCGAGAGAGGTCCTTCCCAGCATCCTAGCCGCAGCCAAAGTGGCTAAGAGCGCAAGTCCCCGCAGAGTGCACCAGGAGTGCCCGGGGGTGCAGGGGGAGGCCCAGGTGCAGGTGCAGGAGCGGCGAGCACCGGGGCGCATGCCTTACCTGGGGCCTGACATGACAACCCGACTGTCAGCCATGTTCTACACGGTCGAGGTCGGGGACACCAAGTTCACCATCCTCAAGCGGTACCAGAACCTGAAGCCCATCGGCTCCGGTGCCCAGGGGATCGTCTGGTGAGTCCCACCCCCTTTACCCCCTTTTAGAGGCTCCCGAGGGATTCCCCTTGACTATGGAAATCGCAAGAGGACGAGAGGGTGCTCCTGGACTCGGTGGAGTCTTGCTGGGAAATTGAAAAATGAGGACGAAGGCGGATTGTGATATTCGAGGGATCTTGCGACCTGGAATATCGATTTTACTGATAATGGGATGAGGTCGATTTTCGATGGATTTCGTGGGGAGAATTAATTTCACTGATAATGGGATGAGGTCGATTTTCGATGGATCTCGTGACGGAGAATTAATTTCACTGATAATGGGATGAGGTCGATTTTGCATGGATCTCGTGACGGAGAATTAATTTCACTGAAAATTGTATGAGGTCGATTTTCGATGGATCTCGTGACGGAGAATTAATTTCACAGATAATGGGATGAGGTCGATTTTGCATGGATCTCGTCACGGAGAATTAATTTCACAGAAAATTGGATGAGGTCGATTTTCGATGGATCTCATGACCTCGAATTAATTTCACCGAAAATTGGATGAGGTCGATTTTCAATGGATCTCATGACCTCGAATTAATTTCACTGAAAATTGGATGAGGTCGATTTTCCATGGATCTCGTGACCTCGAATTAATTTTTTATTTGTTAAATAAGAGGTCGATTTTCAATGGGTTTCCCTGAAAATGGGAGACTACCAATTTTCAACGGATCTCGCATTTGGATCCCTCGAAGTTACGTCCCCTTAAAAAGGGCGGAATGTCCGATTTCGTTTTCGAGGCACTTCGGGAAGTCTTCTAAATAGAAACGAAAAGTGGGAAATCGCAAAAAATCCTTAAAAATGCCCTTGCATCTCAGACTAGCGAGGACTCCATTTCTTTCCGGGCGCATCTCTCGACGAGCCTTTTTCCCCTAATTTCTCGCACACCTAGGCGCGCATCCCGTCGAGGACCGAGGTAAGCCGAAACGGAGAACCATCCATGCACTTTCATCGGATCTTTCCTTTTTTTTTTCACAGTATTTTGTGTTTCAAGTTCGCAGCTTCAGCCGTTTCCGCATCCATGCATGCGACACGAGCTCGTCCTTGCGTCTCGAGCGTCCTTTGCGTCGCGAAACCAATTTTTCCACCCGTGAAAAATTCCTGGAAAATCCAGGACACCTCGCCTTGCCATCATCTCGCCAAAATTCGCAAAGCGCGTTCGAGCGATTAATCGAACCGTAGATTAATGTCATTAATGTAGTTTGTTTCATCTCTTCCTGCACGGTTTTTGGACCCATTCAACCACGCGATTTTTCCTGGATATCCCACGGGAGAGCACCCGTACAAAAAATTCCCGCACGAGGCAGAAAAATTGCATGGATGGTTCCAGGAATCGAGCGGCAGCCGTCAGGACCTCTGATACCCTCCAGCATTGTAAGCGCACGTTAAAAAAGAGAGAAAAAAAAGAAAAAAAAATATATTCTTCGCACGAAGGGTGCTGCAATATTCGGAGAATGAAAAAAATCCTTACTTTGTATATAAACATGCGAGAGTATAATTAAATGATTGAAAAATCAGCTCAACTCTGGAGTGAAAAGGAGAGCTGGGGGGTATCGGTTCGTCGCCTCGACGAAGAGGTTCCTGACGGTGGAATCGTTCTCGTTTCCCTGTATTGTGGTTGGTGTTGTGGTTGGTCCGGTATCGCTAGAGAGAGTCCCGGGTCCCGAGGGTTGGCCAGCCAAAAGGTATGGATAACGCACTGCCGACGAATGCGATGATCGCCGGGAATGTTAGGAGCGGATACCACCGGTACGTTTGCGGGGACACGGAGTTCTGCATCCCGGAGAGATACGTCAACGTGGAGCCGAGAGGAACCGGCGCCCAGGGCGTAGTCTGGTGAGTAGAGCACGGTAAGGTCGATTCCTGGAATCTAGACCGTCCAAAGGGGAGATTTTTCCCTCTAAGATCATTTTCGGGTAAATCAAAGGGGACGGATGGGTCCCGGGGGGTGCGCCAGGAACCTTCGAGTCACCCTCTCCTTGGGGATGGTTTCCCCGTGACCTTTTTCCTCTTCTTCCAGCGCGGCGTACGACACGGTCACGGCGCAGAATGTGGCGATCAAGAAGCTCTCCAGGCCCTTCCAGAACGTCACACACGCCAAAAGGGCGTATCGGGAGTTCAAGCTGATGAAGCTGGTCAATCACAAGAACGTGAGTGATATGGATTTTTATATTTCGAGGTGGAGTCCGATAGAGGGGATGTCGAACTTCCCGATTCCTTCCAGATCATCGGGCTCCTGAACGCGTTTACGCCCCAGAGGTCGCTCGACGAGTTCCAGGATGTCTACCTGGTGATGGAGCTGATGGACGCGAACCTGTGCCAGGTCATCCAGATGGATCTGGACCACGAGCGCATGTCCTATCTCCTCTACCAGATGCTCTGCGGCATCAAGCACCTCCACTCGGCCGGCATCATCCACAGGGTGAGGACTTCCTGGATAAGCGGTATCTGTCTTGGTCTTGCAAAAAGGAAAAAAAAATGTTAAACTAGGAAAAGTGCGAGGTCAAGGTCTGGACTCGATGTACAAGAGTGAGACCAAGGGTATCATGGTCGATGGTGACCAATAGGATTAATTAAAATCCTGATTTGTCTAAAAAAAAATTAAAAATAGTTGTTTTTTAAAAATATCACGAGTTTTGTAAATGATTTTTTAACATAACTGTCTTGGTCTTGCGAAAAGGGAAAAAAAAATGTTAAAATAGGAAAAGTGCGAGGTCAAGGCCTGGACTCGATATACAAGAGTGAGACCAAGGGTATCATGGTCGATGGTGGCCAACAGGATTAATTAAAATCCTGATTTGTCTATAAAAAAAATTAAAAATATCACTATTAAAGTCACGAGTTTTGTAAATGATTTTTTAACATAACTGTCTTGGTCTTGCAAAAATGAAAAAAAATGTTAAAATAGGAAAAGTGCGAGGTCAAGGTCTGGACTCGATATACAAGAGTGAGACCAAGGCTATCATGGTCGATGGTGACCAACGGGATTAATTAAAATCCTGATTTGTCTAAAAAAAAATTAAAAATAGTTGCTTTTTAAAAATATCACGAGTTTTGTAAATGATTTTTTAACATAACTGTCTTGGTCTTGCGAAAAGGAAAAAAAATGTTAAAATAGGAAAAGTGCGAGGTCAAGGTCTGGACTCGATATACAAG